TCCAGGGACAGGGATCCAGGACCTGCCCTCGTTAAACACCCCAGGGCTGGGGACTGCCCAGCCCTCACACTTGTCAGGGTCTCTCTGCAGGGCAGAGTTTATTTGGTATGGAGGCAGTATTTGTCCTGTAAACAAATTCCTGATCCTATGGACACATCATCCATGAGAACTGGGGAGCTTGACACAGCAGCAATTGTCTCTCAGACGATTCAGCATCTGTGTGAAGCATTAGCAAAATGAGTGGCTGAGACTTCAAGCAGATGCAGCCTATTTAATTATGGTCTGTGACTGCAACTGAGCTAAAAGAAAGACTCAGCTCTAGGAAGAAAAAAACAAAACTAAAGAGGCACAGACACCAAAGCATCCCTGACATTGCTTGGAGATGATATCATCTGTACAACACCTACTTCCACAGGCAGGAGTCACAGCCCGGGCAGCAGTGACACTGCCTCTGAACAAGGGGGAAAGGAAAGTTAGGGACAACTGGGAAATGGGACATGCAAAGCACCTGGATGGTATCAGCAAGCTTCAAAGGTGAGGGGAAAAACCACTCCCCGCTCCCAAACAAACCTCAGGTGATTTAGTTGACTCCTCCTTCCAGTCAGCCAAGATCACAGCCCCTGTCACCGGTGCTCCAGAGGACCTTGGCCATGGCTCCAGATCACAGAGCCCTGCAGGGAGCCCCTGCCAGGGGCTGTCTGGGCACAAACACACCCCCAGCTCCTCCCAGGGACACAGCAGGGGCAGCTCCTCCTATGCTGGATGTGCCTGCCCAGGGTATTGAGATCTGGCCCTCCCTTCCCAAAAATCCCTTTTCTCCCTGCTCCTGCAGCTCCAGGTTTGCTGAGGGTGAGCCAGGGCTGTTGGCATTGCCCTGCCATTCCTCTTCCCCCACCAGGAATGGTGGATCACATGGAGCTGCCCTGCTCCAGCACCAGCTCTGGGCAGAGAAAGCCCAGGAAGCTGCTTCCCACCCCTTGGTCACTTTTACAGGCAGCTCAGAGCCTGGAAAAGGGAAAAGAGTCAACTCCTTCAAAACACCTAGAAATAGCCTCCACTTGTGTCCTGCTGGAGCCATCCCGAGGCTTTCCAGGAGCCAGCAGCATTCCTGCTGGATCCTGCCCTCCCCACAGAGGCAGACTGGCCCGAAAAGGACTTCAGGAGTCCCATGACTGCTCCGTCAGCGCCTGCCAAGCAACGCCCCTCGGCACCACGCAGGGGTTCAACAACAGCCAGGGAAAAGCAGCAAGCCAGGGGGAAAAAAAAGCAGCAAGGCAGCAGTCAGCAAGCTCCTACCTGCGTTCCTGGCCTCGGCAGGTCACCCCTGCAATCACTCAGCCCGTCTCTGGCCCTCTGTGAGCACTGGCAGGCACCGAGGCCGAGCTTCCTTTTTCAAAAGAGGGGGGAAAAAGATCCCCCTTTGATGGGCGGCCCCAATCCGGAGGCTCCGGCAGCTGGGGAGGGGTCAGACACGAGGCCACTTCCCTCCCTGTGACCCCAGCGCCGGGGCGGCCACATCCTGCTGCCTCCTGGTGCCGCGGCCCTGCAGCTCAGCCCAACGCGGCTCCCAAAGTCAGGGACCTCTCCGGTTTCCTTTCCCGGGAGATGACACCAAGTCCGGCTGCTTTTAACTGCACCCGTGGGTGAGGAGCCTGTGACAGCCCCTGTGTCCCCACGGAGGAGAGGGGACGATCCCACTTCCGAGTCATTCCCAGTGTCCTTAACCCCGTTGCTCAGGCCAGAGTTCCCAACACAGGACACAAAAGCCCGCGGGTTTCACAAAGCAGCCCCAATATCTCGGGTGCACTGAGCACTTGAGTGAAAACTTCAGTTCACAGAGTGAGGCCAAGAAGAAAAGCGGCTCCAAACAGGCAGCTCGCACAGAACACCAGGGACACACATGCACATTTTTTCCATAATTCCACACCTCTCCTTTCACAAATCCCCTCCCGTGGCTGTTCTG